TTTTTTTGGGGGGGGGGGGGGGTCCCCATGAGGAAACAAGCTTATAAATCATACAGAATGAAGTTTACCTGGCTATAGTTTGCAACAAAATTGTCCCACAAAGTGAATTACATCTGAAGAAGCGTCCTCAAAGCTAGGGTGAATCTTACATAAAAAAGGCCACTGGACATGTTCTTAACATGTTTAATGAAATTCACCCCATAAATAAAGATGCACAGAATGGCATTTGCATGTTCTGTTTCACATGAATAAGTTATGAAATACCCCTGTCAAACACACACAAACACATCTCTCTCACACATAATGAATGAGAATGGCAGATGAGTGATGTGGGATGCGTGTGAGTGTGTGTGTAGGAGGAAAGAGATGTCTCTTGGTGCCCCTCAGTTCTATGAATGCAAAAAATGGACTTGCAGTCTCGTGGAGACTGTTATGTGAGACTACCTTGAATGAACGATCTCAGAAGGACAGGAGGGCACATAACACAACAAAAAACATGATAGTAAGATCCGTTTTAAAAGATAAAGTGCTGAGACGAAGTACCTTCATTTTCTAATAGAGCAGGAGAGATTAGTTTTATTTTGTGTGGTGAAGCAGGTAATATGAAAGGAGGGTGGAAGTGAGGAAGACACGAACACAGTAGAGAAAAAACAGAATTCGGCAGACTCATCGATTGATTAATTAAATTTCTCCAAACCTCACCGTCTGTGCTTTCATCCTGCTGAGCAGGTCATGTGAATATAGAGCTGTTCCTCTGAACCTACAAACAAGCCCTGGCACATCCACACAATATCCATTCAGTTTGCACATAAATCTTTTTTCTCAGACGTAACACAACCTAATTCTTCAATTTTGAATTGAGGAAAGAAGAATTCTTCCTCCCTCCTTTCATATCACCTGCTTCACCACACAAAATAAAACCAATCTACCCTGCTCTATTAGAAAATGAGAGTACTTAATCTCAGTACTTTGTCTTTTAAAAAGAGATCTTACTATGGTGTTTTTTTGACATTTTTAATAGCAAATCAATAGTTAATGTGATACTTTATAAATTATTTTTATGTGTGTGTGCGTGTCACAGATCACAGCACATTTCAATTTTCGTAAAGATGCATCTGTCCTGTCCTTCTGAGACATTCATTCATTCAAGACATTACGGTCTTCGCAAGAATGCAAGTCTGTCTGCATATTTATGTTTATATCTCACAATTCTGACTTTATTCTCAAAATTGCAAGCAACAAAGTGAGAATTGTGAGATAAAAAGTTGCAATTACCTTTGCAATATTTAGTTTTATTCATGGCAGAAACATGGCTTCCATAAATAACTGTAATTTAATTTAATTTCTATTAAATTTTTTAATTAATTGATTTATGTTTGTGTGTGTGTGCATTTCAAAGGTGCACTAACACTTCAGAACCGAAGATGAGACATTAGCAATCAGCGTGCATTTGCTTATGGGATGATGACAGATTTCAAACAGATTTTTCGATATGGATGAGGGAGATGCCATCTGCACACCCCTGCTGAGATATTGTAGGAGCGGTTTGTCTGAATGGAGAGACATTGACTGCGCCTGATGGGGTGAATTCAGCGGGGAACGGCATAGCAGACGTCCCCCTGCCATGTGCCACATAAACGATTAGCTGTATTGTTTAATCTCTATGTGATTCTTGTCTGCTTGAGTTTCTGAAAAGGCAAAAACATCTGCAGGACCTAACCAAGACAGGAGAGCTTCAGGAGGTCTGGCACTCTAGACAGCTTTTTAAAAAGGGTTAGTGAGAGTGCAGGGAACAGGAAAGAGAGATAGAGGGGGATACAGTGAATAACTGAGAAAGATATATAAAGAATGACCTGTTTTTAACCTTCAAAACCAACCTTGTTTACTTTCTTAATGCATGTTCACCAGTGCTCATTATTATAAATAAAAATGTATTTTCCGAACCTTTAATCAAAATGTAATAACCTGCTCTTCCTCTGAAATGACC